ATGTGTTTTATGAGCAATCATTCATTTCGAGGCGAGCAGTCGAAGTACAGTTTACATGTGGGACACACGGCGCTGTTCAGGTGTGTGTGTGGAGGTTCAGACCTGATGTACGGCACCAGAGGGTCCACGTGTCTCAGCACCACCGCCGTGATGTAGGCGAAGACGAAGGACGCCGCCGTCCAGACAACCAGAGCGGCAGGAAGGAAGCACAAACCCTGCTGGAACCACCACATGGTGTGTGTGTGTGTGTGTGTGTGTGTGTACGTGTGTGTGTGTGTGTGTGTGTAGGTGTGTTTGTGTGTGTGTGTGTTGCTGGTTCACTGTCATGAACAAAAAAAACAACAACAACATCATTATTATTATTCATTTTAACCTGCTGATGTCAACACAAGATGACCTGACAGATAAACAGTCAGAGCATCACAGAGAGCAGCGGTGGAAAGTAACTGAGTACATTTACTCCAACTTTGAGTTATTACACTTGAGTATTTCCATGTAATGCTACTTCCTCCTTCCACTCCACCACATCTCAGAGGGAAATATTGTACTTCATACTCCTTAACCTTCATCTGATGGTAAATCTGACACAACAGATAATAAGACAAGTTTTTAAATAAACATTTCAAACTTCTGGTGTTTTTCTTTTCTTCCAAACAGCACACGTCACACATCTATGAGCTGTTAACTGACATCTTTCCCACTAAACTTCTCACGTGGTTTAATAAATGATCCAACGAACCAAAATCACAGATCAGAGAAAAACTGAAAGCAGATTTGTGGGTCAGAACTTTTCTTCTTTCCTCTGCCATGAGTCCTGTTTGGAGCCTCAGATTTAATCTTCTGTCGCTGTAAATAAAACTGGACATAAAGGAGTTGAAACTGCTTTACTGGTAATAATCTAATATTATATCAGTCAGAGGAATAAACCAGGACTTTTATTGCAAAACCCCCATTCTGCTGCCGTGTACTTTTTACTGAAGAGGGATTTTCCATGCAGGAATTTCGCTTGTAATCGAGTATTTTTACTTTGCTGTGTTGCTACTTTTACTGAAGTAAGAGACATGAATATTTTAATCATCTGTGAATTTGTTGTACATTTTCCACGATTAACTGACAAATTGTTTCGTCTGTAAAATGTCAGAAAACTGTTAAAAATAAATCTTTCTCAAAGCTGAAGATGACAAATGTCTTGTTTTGTCCACAACCCAAAATATGTTCACTTTACTGTCATGGAGGAGGAAAGAAAACGACTCAAACGAACCAATCAGTTAACAAAATAGTCGCTGATTAAGTTGATAGTTGACGATTATTTAATTCATATTTGCAGCTCTACTGAGAACACATCTATGAATAAACAGGACGATATAATTAGATTAAATTCAACCTTTAAGTTTCTGCTCTGAGCTGACATCAGTGGAACATTATCCCTGTTAAGAATTCAGCTCTAACGAAGGATCTGAAAACTGCCGAAAAACAGGAATTCTGCGTCAAACCATCAGCCAACAACAAATTTGTTGTTCTGTGAATAATTTAATTTGCTCATAAATCAAAAGCTCCAGATGTTCTGTGGCTGCCTGACTGTCATGATTTCCTGCTTTTATTTTCCACTTTAGTGTCACACTGAACTGATTATTGTTTAGACAAACAAAACAACAGGAAGAGGAAGTGTGTCGGACGTTGTTCTGCTGCCGTTTTATAGTTTATAGATCAAAGACTTCATCATAAAACTGATCTTCAGATTATTAATCACAGACACAAGGCTTTATCTGAGTCCTGTGGAGGCGTCGTGTTTAGTGGCAGTGACCAAAGTTAAATGAAAAAATCTTTGCATCTGGATTTTACGATTTCTAACTCAGTCATTACACTTTTCTTCATGTAGAAAAAACATCAGGCACAAATTATCAATGAGTCTTTCCACTGAATCCACAATTTGTCTTTAGTCAATTTTAGACTCTTATTTAGACAAAATATCTGCATCTTACTCTGGATGCTTTGGCTATTTTCTGACGTTTAGCAAAAAGATTTTTAATCAGCAGATAATTCAATTAACAGTCTGTCATTTTATAAAGAAGCGGATTAAGGAGTATAGTCTGTCCTGTTTATTGTTAATTATACAACACCTTTAAAGCCGCTGAGCCAAAGTGTTTTACAGTAAAATTAGAAATTAAAGATTACAAATGAACTTAAGTTTGAATATTTACAGTATTATTGAACTATTAACCATTAAAACCCCAGAAAAATTTAATAAAATACAACTTTACTTGACAATAATAAATCCTAACGCTAAGATCCTACAGTTTTATTAAATTTTGGAAGATTAATCTGTTTAATTTAGAAGCAAAGTATAAAAATATACATAAAAGTAGTTTAACAATAATTAATAAGACTGAACAGCTGAATATGACGTTTTATTCATTTCCCATGTGTTTCTGTGAGCTATTGCTTATGTATGCGTAATAAAAAAGACTTTGTCACGTAGTAGAACAGGTTCGGAAAGTCCCCGTGATCTCGGGAAGGAAGTGAAACTAAAAAATATGTAAAATTAGCTGTTGTTCTCTCTCACAAACCAAACTTCATTTAAAAAAACGACAATTTAACAATTTTGTCAGCAAACTGAGCCCCAGATCTCTCACAACACCGTGTTTCATTAATGGGGCAAAACAACAAGCAGTTATAAGTTAAACGGCTCGTACTGAACACTGAAAATGTATTTATATGTTTTTAAATTAACAACAGCATTAAGCTAATTGCTATACAAACATTAAAGTGACCAGCAGTTAGCTAGCTAGCGTTAGCTTCGTTGAACAGCCTTCAAAGACTGACAGCGACAGAATATGTAAAGTAAAGTAATTTGCGTTTTTAAAATATATTTGTTTCAACTGTTTTTTAAAAGTTTTTCTCGGTTTTTAGCAGCAGCTGTCAGACTGAGGAGTCACACGGACCGCAGCTCGGTTTCTAATTCAACATAATGACACTCACGTTATTGGAGCCTTCCGGCGACCATGATCCTCCTGAAGCGGTCAAAGCACGACAAACACGTCTTTGAAACTCGGACCGAGGCGTTCAGAGCTCCGTTATCCTCCGCTGATCCTCGCCGTGGCTCCAAACCGCCATTTAAAGACTAAACTTTTAAACTTGACACTCACGTCCGTGTGCTCGCTCGGTGATTAAGTGCGCATGCGCCTGTCAGAGATAAACAACGTTTGGGTTGAATGTGTCCCGAGTTCTGCCTCACAGGAGAATCTGCAGAGAGACTGAGTGAAGAAGTGGAAATGTGGCAGAAAAACTGAGTGAAGAACTGGAAATGTGGCAGAAAAACTGAGTGAAGAACTGGAAATGTGGCAGAAAAAGTGCCAAAAAATATGTTTTTAAAAAAGGTGGAATATGGTCACATTAAAAAACACGTAAAACAGTGAAAATAACAGCAAATATCTTTAAAGTATTTGTGTTTTGTGCAATTTTAAATGTAGAAAAACTATAATTTTACAGTAAAACAACTCTTATCATCTGTTAAAATAATAAATAAATAAATAAATATTTTTTGGGTGAGGGCATTATTTGGAGTTTTGGCTTGTTTGTTTGTTTGTTTGTTGTTTGTAAAGTTAAAATGTACATTAATACTTTTTTCTGTGACTTTACCGGATAAAAATTCTCCCTCAACAAAACAGGGAAAATCTGTAAAACAACAATACTTCTGCTGATGAAAGTAAAGTTCAAAACTTTTATTTTATGATTTTGGAAAGTTTAATGACATGGAACGTTTACCCAGAATGCACTTTTTTAAAAGTTTTCTCTGGTGAATGATCAGAAACCAGAAACACATCCAGGAAACCAGCGATTGTTTCTGTGACTCTGTGTCATAGATAATAAACAGCTGAAACTACGATACATCCCATAATACTGATGCCTAAAGTTAGAGAAAAATGAACAAAACCCAAGTTTAGGCTTCAGATTGTGACGCCTGATGGATGTAAAACTGATCTGGTGTCAGTTTTTATCAGAACTCAAACGTGTCCGTCTGCTGAACTGATGAAGTTCTGAAGCTCAGAAATAATAATAAATAAACAGTGATATATTCAGGCCCACCTCTGTGTATTTTAAGATACTTTATGATTTTCTCAAACTTCAAAGACTGAATTCCTGAAATTCTGAAAATATTTTGTGAATTTCTGACTTTATTATCAAAATATTTTTCTTCTCTTGAAACATTTTCTCTGTGGTTTAAACATTCTCACCTTATTACAGTTTCCTTTTTTTATATGAACAAACATGACCTTTATCACTTTATCCTCAAAATATTGCTCGTTTCTGTAATTATTCTCATATTGACTTTTCCTCATTATTCCAAATTTTGCAGTTTTGTGTAAATTTGGATTTTTGGTTCCTTCCAGCAGAACTTTTCGCTTCTTTTCTCTTTTGTTTTTCTCAAACTTTGTACCTCAAGTGTCTGAAACTCTGAAAATATTCATGACATGATGGTAAAACTTCACACAGCGTCATTAAATATACTTCAGCTGATTCTGATTGATTTTCCCCCACATTACATAAAAAATAAAATAAAAAAATCCTCCTTCTTAACTCACGGCTCTCGTTGCTAAAAGAAGCTTTCAGTCCTGCAGCAGGTGAATCCGTCAGGTTCCAGTAAAACACAGGCAGGAAGCTGCTTCCAGGTGAGAGTATGAAATTTATTTGCATTGGAAGGTGAAGGAGAGATTGTCAGGTGTCTCGTTTTTCTGTGAAGGTGAAATACCTGAGCTGGGCAGTCCGGCCAACACAACACAAACCTCAGACACACAGAAACAAACGCGTTTAAGGCAAAACTTTTACTTGTAACGATGAGAGTCGAGCCGACAGCAGGAACCAGACGCACAGAGACTCTCTGCTTCGGTACGAACTGTTACAGCAGAACGTTCTCCTCATGTTCTCCTCAAACACTGGACTGAACATAAAGGATAAAAACTCCTGCGTGACTTTCTGAGAGTCAGCGCTGGTCTGTTCATCACCTGCAGTCACCTGAACTGGACTAAAACGTGGACTGGTGTTCATTTAAAGGCTCATTTCACCCAAATCACACAAAAAAATCCTCTACATTGATCAGGTTTCACTTCATGTTTGAAGATTTCTGACTGTAAAGCAAATAAAACAGATTTAGTTTGCTTCCAGACAAAACCCCAAACATGACACATATTTTCCTTGAATCACTTCATTCATGTTATATTAGACTTGATTCTCATTTTACACAGTTTGAAATTGAAAAAAAAAAAAAGTATTGGGACTTTTAATTATTGAAATATTATATATTTGCCTCATCGTGGCGTCACCTGTTATTAACAGTAGTTCACTTTGTCTTGAAATGTTTTAAAAACTCTCCAACTGTTCGCTCATATTATGGATTTATTCTTAAAATATTGCAACTTTTTTACATGGAATTTTTTTTTTTTTTTTTAAAATATGGACATTTTTTTCTCTTCAAATCTTCAGAAACGACTGAAATTTAATTCTCAATATATTGCAGCCTTTTCCTAAAATTGAACATTTCTCTAACAGTTTTCATGTTGTTTTAATAAATGTTGACTATTTCTTAAAAGTTATATTAGATTATGATATTCTCAATTTTGCAAATATCTTAAAATCAGGACTTTATTTTCATAATATTCAATGTTTTTTTCCCCTTGAACTGTTTTCTTGAATGTTTAATTAGATCTTTCTTACAGCAGCGTCTCCTTTAATTAACAATTCATTAATATATTTTTGACTCATAGCTTCTCTTCTTTAACCACTTTAATCTCGTTCTATCTTCTCTTTTACCTCACGAGTTATTTTTATTGCACCTTTATACTGAAAATGATCACTTAACTCTCGTGATAAATGATTAAACATATCGATTCTCTGAACCCCAAAACAAGTCGGCATCAAAATTCCACAATTTGTCAGCAAGAAACCGTAAAAACTCAAAGAATCATCTGTTTTTTTCCCACTTTCGGACGAGTCCTTGAACTACTCGCTGGTTCTGTTTCATAAAACTTAAACGTAAAATTGTGATACATCAAAGTAATTTTATTCTACATGTTTTGTTTTTTTTTTTTAATAAAAAGAAATAAACAGTATGTCGAAGTAGATTCTGTAAAATAAATAAAATATTGAGTTCCTCGGTGCCACTATGAAGCATTAATGACTCGGCTGAGCAGCTTTAAAACATGAACATCTACACTATGTGGAGCCTCCTTTTTGCTCCAGTGTTGGTAACAGCTGTGGCCCAGATGTTGGACATGTTGATTCCAGTTTATTTTTCCATTTTTGTAAATTAAAGGACTAGAAAAAATTTGAGTTTTGTTGCATTTTGATTTATCATTTTGTGTCATTCTGCAGAGAACACGTCTGAGTTCATGGTTGTTCCGTTTCCATCGCGGTGCCGGACTTTATATTGCAGAGAAAAAAGAGACACTTCCTGGAGTTCAGAGGATGAACCATCATATTCCATCTCCAGTCACTAGAGGAGAAACGTTTTCTTGTGATTTGGGTGAAGCGGCCCTTTAACACTTTAACACTGGTGCATGGAGGCCTTTGTTTGGCCAACAGTCTTTGTCTGTCCACTGAACTCATCGTGTTGTGTTTAGGAGCCCGTCCTGAAACGCTGCACATCATGAATGACTCTCACTAGTCGGCATTCGCAGATCGCTTTAAACAAACTGCAGTCGAACACAAACAAAACAGGCACAAGATGCAGAAGCAGGAACCTCCCTAAGGCCTGCTGTCCAGGACCACCGAGTCCCCGTCGGTCAGACTCTCAGTACCGGTACCAGAGGAGCTGGAGGCAGAGCGAGCGGCAGCCACACTTCAAATAAACAGACTTTTATTAAGTTTGAACCGATTCTCGTCAGTCACCACCTTAGAAACCGTGACGTCATCATGTGACCTCGTCTCCCGCTCATTCACGCTCACGTGCGCACGTTTGACGTCGAGGAGGAAACGTGACGTCGACCAGACGGTAACGTGAAGCCGCGACACACACGTTGTTCGTTTTAAAGTCTGACGAAGTTTCTACGTCTTCAATAAATCCCATGAAAAAAAAAAAAAAAAACATCTGCTGACAGCTCAGGTCAGCCGGACAGATTTCATTCCTCTGTGGTTATCGGTAAAACACTGAACAAATACATAAACAGAAACAGGATTAATTTCTATTGTTCTGGAGTGGTGGTTTGAGCTATTCCACTAAACCAGGGGTCGGCAACCTCAAATACTCAAAGATCCATTTGGACCCGAAAACAAAACACCAGGAGCCACAAAAGCCTTCTGACATCTAAACTGAACATAACACTGCATGTATGGTTTTACCTTCATGCTATGTATAAAAACTACAGTGTGTTGCATTTATGAAATCAATGAACTGCTACAGAGGAAACAAAAACCATTTTAAACTCAAAAAAACAAAAAACAAACAAAAGACGCTGGGTTGAAGGTTACTTTCAAATAAAATACTCAACCACACAGACTTGTAGCTGTGAGGCGACACCGTGGATCGGTTCTGTTCAGAATATTTGCTTTTTGTCCGGTTTCAGCGTCACCATGAACGACGCTGTGATAAATGAACTGCGTCTTCGTTAAACCCAGCTCGTTTTAAACTCATTAGGAGGTCATTAACCGTCACAGAAGTCTTTATCGTGGTGCCCGTTGCTCGCTAAAGTCCCATAATGCTCTCTGGTCGCTACAGGATTAAATAGGAAGCGGTACTACAGCTACTCTACATGTTCTCTGAGATGCTTGTAGAGAAACCAGGTTTGTTGGAGGCTGTGGAGTCTCGGTGCGTCCTGCCCTCCAACACTACATTCCTGACCGCATAGGTAACATGAAGGAACAGCCTGAAGGCAGACATGCTGCTTTAAAAAAAAGCAAAGCATATACACTGGATTGATTTACAACTTTAATGTTCTTGAAGTGCGTTCAATGTAGAAACTGACGGATCAGATCATCGGGATACTGAAGCACAAGTGCAACACCTCCTTCTGTCTCATTGGTTAAAACAAACAGGACATGAGTGACTGTTTTTTAAATGTTTTTGGTCTTTTCATGGGATTTATTGACACCAATAAAATATGAAATAATGAGGTTAACGGATGAGCGGAGCGACCTTCAACCCAACAGGCCCGACTCAGAACAGCCACTTTGTGCATCTCCACTTCAGAACGACTTGACCTTTGCTCTGATCAGCTGCAAAATGTGAGAAAACCTGAGCAGCAGAGTTCTCTGTTGAGCTCAAAGGTCCGGTCAGTAACTTTAGGACCTCTGATGAACACCCACAGAGCTACAAACACCAGCCAGTGAGAGAAACGCTGCTGTAGCTGCAACTCGTCGTGTAACAATAAGAAGTGAAATGAAACCACGAGCCAGTAACGTGACAGTAAACAAACACTGAACTCCCCCCTGAACTAAACACTAAAATCCCAAATGTAACCGAGAAAACACTGGCAGTGAACATTTTGCAGCTTTGCACGAGTCGACGTCAGGTTTCCTCCAGAACCGCGGACGTGAAACGGCGGCACGGTTCGGCGCGATGTGCGGAGGATGAGGTCGCCTCAAAATACATGAAGGAAGGTTTTTATAAATGTGTCAAAGCAGGGGTTTTAACTTAAAAGAGAAGCACAGACACTGCAACAGTTTGGTATTTACAATAGCAAAAAGGTAAAGTTACGCAAATATTACAAAAATTATAATCATGAAAAGCAAAGATCCATACCTATACATGTTGTTGCACATGAACAGTTAAAACACACGTAAGTCTCTCCTTGAACACAGCGAGTAGCACCTGAAACATCTGCTCTGTGTAACCGTGAGTGTGTCAGAGGGAGATCTCTTATTACTGGGCCAGAAGATGAAACTGGTACAAATTCAACTCTGAGTTCACTGGTGAAAAAGAAACAATGACAGTAATATTCCAGTATCTTAATATATATTATTTGTCCTCACATTCAGTTGGCAGAAGCACATACTTTACACCACGTCACCCCCTGCATCTCTACGTGGAAAACAGGGAAGAAAAGATGAGTGCGACTATCGGGGGGGAGGGGGGCAGGGACAGAGTCAGTAATGGCCGGCGTGTCCTCAGTGAGGAGCTGAGCTGAGCACTGAACAAGGCTTGATTTTGAAAACAAAAATGTGAAGATGGCAGGCAATCTGGTTGCAAACACTGACACAGTAACGCACCAAGTCAAAGAAGGAAATGATCTGCAGGAGAGAAAGAAACAGCGTCACTCGCGTCAGGCACAACATCAGGAGTGGAAGCTCGTCACCGCCAGGACGAGACGGAGAGTAAACGTCTAGCAGCTCAACGTTCACTCCTGTTTATATGTTTTACTGGAATAACTCATAATTTTAGACTGTAGTTCTATTTTTGACTTAACCCTCTGTACTCCAAACCGTAAACATTTCAAATGACTCCATTCATCAGAGTCAAAACTGTGGAGTAGTGAGAGCGCCAAATGACAAAAATAAATCAATCAAGGTAGAAGAAAAGTGGAAATAAAAAGAACAAACGTAAAAAAATCAGGCAACAAAAAGCAATATTAATAAAACATGAATCCATAAAAGAAAAGGCTAAATACATAAAATACTTAAACATTTATTTATTTATTTATATTATTATTATTTTTAATTATTTTTGTTTTTAAATTTATTTTTCCCCCTTTTTTCCTCTTTATTGAAATATGCATCGATAATTTTTTTTGTGTGCTATTCTTTCTGTGCCTGTGCACAACATTCCTACTGAGCACATTTTTCTGCGCATATTTCCTTTGCTTTTAAAGTGACATTATAAAAAGTAAATTAAATAAATAAATACATTTAAAAAATAATTTAAAAAAACAAAAAATTTACAAAATAATAAAAAAAATCAATAAAAAAACAAAAAACAATTAATTTTTTTTCTTTGTCTTTATATGTCTACTTTTATTAGCCTTTTCTTTTGTGGATTCATGTTTGATTAATATTGCTTTATATTTATAGAGGTGCACGGTTTTACATTGCAAATGAAAAACGAGCTCACAGTGAAGAAAAATGTGAAAAACAGGAACGTGGTTGGAGTTTAGAGGGTTAATGTGATAATTCTGACTCAGTTTTTCATATCTTAGTGTAATAACTGTAAATTATCGTCTTAACTTTGATGTAATTTCTCATCATTCTGACTTCATGCCGTCAGTTTTATGTACTATATTAAAGTGATTTCTCTTCCTGGTGATAACGGGCTTCCACACAACACAATCAACTGAGCAAATGTAAGCACAGAATAATACCATACAATAGTCGAGGTGAACTTTTAAAATGTAGCAGCGAATAAAAAATGTGAATCTGAATAAAGTCGGCTGCACAGTGTCGTCAGAAGGTGGCGCTGTCGGCTAAACGGCTGTAATAAACAGAGTAGAAGAAGAAGCAAACAAAACTGCTAAAAAATAGAACGTTAACAAACAGAACTTTGTCCGTCTACAGAGACAAATGGGATTATTTTAATCTGGAAGGTCGTCATTATTCTTTCATGTCAGCTGGTGTCGGACGTTTTTCTTGCTGCCCAGGAACAGCTGATCATTTGTGCACATTAGATGCTTAAAATGTCACAAATGGTTTAAAAAAAAAAAAAGTCAAGAACTACCTCGTGAGCAAAATTTGTTAAGTTTTAATTTTGCAGTTTTTAGGAACTTTTTCTGATGCAATACTTGAAATTAAGTTATTTAAACAGCTCACAACTGAACAAACACCAACATGGCTGATTAAACACGACTCTAATGGACCACATGTGATGTTTGCTAAATATTTTAACTCATCAGGTAAAACCAACCCTAGCCCTGGATCAGCTACATGGATCATCAGTATTATTAGTTATATCCGTACGTTTCCTGCTTCATGGTGTCAAAACGCCATCACGTGTACTCACCAGTGCAATCCAGAGCACCAGGTACTCGTCGATAAAACTATTGAAATACTGATCCAGGAACAGAAGTCCTGGCCCCAGAAAGGCTAAATCGTGGAGATGCATCTCACTTTTTGTCATATGTGCTACCTGTGGACAGAGAGAACAGACAGTCGGCATCAAACGACGACACAGAGTTGAATCTGAGAGCTTTGAAAGCGTTTTTCCTTTTAGGTGTTTGGACACGAGACACAGTTTTTAGCTTCTATTTTACATTCATGTCAATAGACGTCCATAATCTGCAGCTCTTTAATAGTGATCTGATTATCAGACATGTTGGATGTCGTCCCGTTCAGCAAAGCAACTCGTGACGGCAATAATAAAATTCATTCAAATCTAAATCACGAGAGCAAACAAACAGGACGCCAAACGTTACGCTGAGCTCCGACTGAAATTACAATTAAAAATGCAAACCAGGTGGAATTAGAGCAAACAAATATCTGTTTTCTTTTCCGTCTGACAATTGCTAAATGTCTCAACACTGGCTTTTCAAAAGTCCTCGATCAGGAACCGCTGTCTAAAAAAAAATAAAATAAAAAAACTTGCACAACATCAGATGTGGCCATTTTCTTATTTAAGTTTACAAGGTCAAGAATTTCATTCACAAGCAGAAAAGAATGAAGCTTCTGAAACTCAAACCCAGCCAGCAGATTTGAAAGGCTGTTATCGCAAAAAAACAAATAAATAAACAAATAAAATCAGCAAAATTACGCCATTTATCAGAACAAGAATTCGTCAAAATCAAGAAAAGTTGTCACTTTGACATGAACATCAGCAGCAGGAAGCACAAAGACAAAGACACTGAATCCCTCTGACTAAAAAACAAAGTGAGTGTGACTTACAACTAATTTATTGGTGATTTTGGCCGAGACGAAGCCAAACGCCAGGATATAAAGACACGGGTGTTTCTCGAAGAGCTGGACAGCAGACTTCTTGTATATCATCATGGCCAAAATTATAACTGAGCCAATATGTAAGACTGGAGAGAGGACGCTGGTTCCCTGAGGACGACAAAGACACACGGAGCAAACACGTTACAACCTTTGACGAGGCTCAAACGTTCATTTAAACACAATGAGATGAAAAGTCGTCGCTATGTTCACAGTCACACAGATGAAAACAGAAGGAGCTCCGTAGACTGAAGCACTTTGTTGCTACAGACAAGCATTTCATCCCTACGTACTTGTTGGAGGGAAGTTCTAAATATCTGCTTCACAGTTTCACTGTAGCTCATAATACACCCACAATAATCCACTTCAAGAATCAGTCCATTCAAAAGCACTGTTTTACATCCCAGACAGTGTGTTCATGTCGGTCTTGTAACGAGTTACACGTTTACAAAAAAGCTGCTTGAGGCAAAGTCTGTGATTTTGAGCGACATAAATAAAACTGATCTGACTTGAAGCGACATGTTAAAACCAGCCGGCGTTACGCCTTGACTTTCCGAGGGTTGATCAAAAAGTTCCGCGACTGTTTGCGGCGAACGTGTCGCAGCACATTGATGATTTTTGAAAACATTCTCAGGGAGCGAACGCGTCAGTCGGCAGCTGGTAGAGGATCATCACGGGGACCAGAGGACGGTCTGCAGCTACCAGCAAGAGCAGAAACAGCAGCTTAACCCTTTATGGGCCAAGTGACCATATTTGGTAACTTCCTCTGACGGTCAATATGTCCACCACGTGGCGCTCCTTGAGGTTGAGGTTTCTATATTCGTGGCAATATCACCATTGATGTGAGTCAGGTGTGTTGCAGTACAGAAACGTCTAAAACCTGCAGGACAGTAGCTCACGAGGTCCAGAGTTGGAGATCTCTGGTTTAGGAGATTTAACTCATCACAGGTGGAGCTTAGCGTGTTTACAGAACAGAACCTCCAGGGAGAGTTAAAGAGTCCCAGGAGCACTGGGAGCAGAGCTTCAACAGGAATGGAGGTTAAACTTAAATCAGGTGCATTTTGGTTTTCTTTTCACAGCACTGTCTTGGAACTTTTTGATCAACCCTTCTAGTCCTTCCAGATCCTTTACTTTCTTTTCCACTTGCAGGATTCCATTTCACACACGCACAGAAGATGAGCGTCTACGTTTTCTGAGCATTACTGTCCTTGTGAAGCAGTTTTTGTGCACACACGTGGACTCTCAGTGTGCTGGACATAATGTGTGTTGCTGCTGACACGAGGCACAAAAACAGCTCGCCACCGTCCCGTCAGTCACTCTGATGTATTTTCTGACCCCCCATCTGTGCACACGCCTCACAAATCTGATGTGTTCAGCAGCAGAAGTTTGTTCGGGGGGAAGCAACGCAAGTTTCCAGACTCACCGCTATTGTGGATCCGTTTTTGCCCACGCCTCCTGTAAAAATAACTCTGAAGTAATTGGTGCAGGAGAAGATGGCTCCTAAAAAAGTGCAGATGGCAGGAACCATTTTCATCTGGATATTTAGGATCGGAATCTGGGAATCGAGACATTAACACAATAAAGATGACAGCACAACACACACACACACATCAAAACATGCCCTGATGCTACTGTAAGTCTGAGTCTTTTGAGTAATGTTAGGAAACGCTACGAGCTTCTTAAAACCATTACAGTAAAAACACGACTGTTAGAGCAGCATCATAATTACATTAAACTCAGCAAGATAAACATCATTACACAATTATGGCATCATTCTCATTGATCTCAATCTGTAGGAATTAGAACCGATCAGAATTACCAGTGACTGCCAAAAAGCAGATCCTCCCACGGCGGCCAGCAAATACATGATTATAATGAAGATTTGCACCTCAGTCACATCAATGCTGAGTGGGAGGAGAAAGCAGAGAGTTTAAAGTGAGGATTAGTGACGTCTACCAGCACACAGTCATCCTGCAGCCTTCCTCCACAACACACCGCCGGACACGGAGCTGCTGCTGCTGCTGCTGCACAACACGGGTTTGGGTTTGGAGGTGAACGAGTCGACGGGGGAGCAGCTGCAGTGAAGGTGCGATCAGTAATCAGAACAGCCTCCATCACAGCTGAGTGAGTCATCTGCTCGTCGCCGGAGCTGAAGGATTTGGGGAATGTTTCCAACTAATATTGGGATGTTGTTGTTGTTTTTAATGCTTCAGGATTGTGTAATGCATTTGGGTCAAGTCAGCATTCTTCTATACAGCACATTTAAAAGAGCAGCCGCGGCACCAAAGTGTTTTCCAGAATTAAAGATTATCGCTGGCGTTACGAATCAACCTAACAAGTTTAAATGTTGACGTTAAGACCCTGTGGTGTTACGTATGCTGTGAGTAATGTACATGTTGAGAATTAAAACCCTATAAAATGAATTAAAATGCAACTTTACCTGACGATAATACATCCTAAGACTTAGAGCCTGTGGTGTTAGTAAATATGGAGACTAACCAAACTAATGTAATAATATAGACTCTACTGTATTATTAATTACAGAACTAATAGTAAATAATAAAGGCTGAGACCTTCAGCAACATTAATTATGAGGCTAATTTAGAGCTAAAGTTTATATAGTCATTCTTTCACTCCTCTCTCGAACCATCCGTCCATCCATCTCCTCAAAGGAGTGTCTGGATGAAGGTGAGCTGCTGAGGAGCTGCTCTCCTGCGTTGAAGTTGTTGTTTAGTCTCCTCTACATACAGGCCGGTGCACTCCTCGCTGCAGATACAACCCTGCTCAGCTTGTGTTTTGGGGTTTTATCCTCAGAGTTTGTGTCTCAGAGGGTTGCAGGACGTTGTGCTCTTCTTTAGTTGTTGTTCATCTTCTTAAATGTGAGAACCTTAGAAGGATTTCCTCCAAACACAACATCCTGGTGAACTTCAGACTTCAGCAACACGCAGACAAAAACTAGCCGAGTCTCAAATATAAACACCAAAACACCAGCTGAGCATTGTTGTGTCCAGTCGAATGCAGCAGGGAGTGCACAGACCTACACATAGAGGAGACTAAACAACTACTTTAACAACCGAATAACTTCATCTTAGGGTCCTTTGAGGACAGCAATGTCCACAATCTGGACAGATAGTTTGGGAGAGGGATGAAGGAAGCCATCTTTGTTAAACTCTAAACACGAGAGTTGGTCGATGGCGCCACTTATTACGTATAATACAGTCCTGAGATCCGTCCCCAGATAATTTCACCACCATTAACATCCTGAGTCTTGAGAATAAATAGCTGGGACTGCTCATGAATCAGCTAGAATGGAGGAAGACTTTTAGATGATGATAAAACGGGACAGACGAACTAAAACAAGAAGTTTAGTTACCTTCTACTCCATCTTTAAGGATAATAGTTTGTTCTTTAAATATTATTTTATGGCACTATCATAACTAAGATGACTGAGAGTCTACACAGCTACAAACATCCGTCAGTTTACAATCTAATGTGACACGTTTTTGTCAAATCCAACCAAAGGCCCAAAATCCAAACATGTCTTCAACAATATTTAACAAGAATTAGGATTAAACCCAGTAGAAAGATGTATCTGGCAGACCACATGCAGCTTCCTTCAGGTCTTTAAAAAGGAGCCACATTTTACTGATTGCACCTTTAAAGCAGAGCGAATCTCAACTTGAATTTCTCTCCGTTTATTCCATGCAGATCAGCGGTCATTGTGGAAGCCGGCGGCGGCAGCGAGCCATGCAGGCAGCAGCCAGGAGGTTTACCATCACGTTCCACAGGCAGGGACCCACAGTGGCTGTGAGCATCTGCAGTCCTGCTAGACAGAGCTGCACCTCTGTTATGTCAAATCTACACACAGAACACATCCACATTTACTCCAGCACGCCCGGACACGCAACTGCTGTCGTCTAGTGAAAGGACAAACAAAAGACTGCAACTAGTTCATCCACTTTAACGTCTTGGACTGAGCTCAACAGGCGCCTGATGAAACCTGTTGGCGGACGCCCGATACGCTCCAGACTTCATCCAGCAGAATAAACATTCACATAAACAGCCGCCGTCTTTCAGGACTTCATTATTCTCGTGCTGCACGTTTCTTCAGGTGTCGGCTGTTTGATTTATACGCGATATTTTTGCACCACAAAGAAACGTCAAATCTTATTTATAAGCAGCTGTTCAGGTCTGGATTTCAGTTAAAGGTGGGCGGAACAAGCAAAGGAAATATTAATGAGGGTTCATCTGAATTAGACGTAAATGTCATCATCTGTATGAATTTAACTTGTTTGAACTTTCGACCTGCAGAAAAAGCATTCAGGCAGCGTCTGATTAGCATCACGCTGCATTTACTTCTTAGTAATCACATCGTCATATCAACATAGAATCCCAACAGAACACTATCAATGAATGTTTGGCTGCTGTGATGCTTCTGAAACCCATCAGGTGGACACGAAGCTGCTGGATGGAGTCCTGACTGTTCTGAAGCAGTTTAGTTTAACCTTCTGAACACCGAACCGTCGGGCAGATTGGAGGTCACGTTGTCTTTTCAAAACTGCCAAAATTGTACCTTTCATCAGAGCCAGAAACTTTTTGTAAAAACCAAGAGACATGCTGGGTGTTAAACTCTCTGAAGGACTTGGAGCTCGTCATCTGTGAGGAAAGCTTGTCATCGGAAAACTACAAATCTGCCAAAAATTAGCTGTTCGCTCCAACCGGATTCAGTAAAAAACTGAAAATTTGCAGCTCTTCGACGCAACTGAGGAGCCATCAGTGACTCAGCTGTGATTAACGGTCACATGACAAATATTCAGGCACCTCTTGGCTGAACTGCAGGATGTGTTTACACAAAGCAGAGAGACGACAAGAATGGAAACTAATGAAAAATGTAAATATTTAAATATCCGTAGCATGTAGAGCCTCCAGTTGTTCCAGCGTCAGTAACAACTGTGGACACTTGGGGAAAAAAAAAAAGCTATCCAAGCTGAAATTAATACATAACCAAGAAATATAAGTTTAACTAAACGATTTCTGTCTGCGCAGAAGACATTCATCTCTCCTTCTTCGTGGTTGTTCTGTTTCCACAGAGGTGCAGGACTTTATATTGAAGAGAAAAATGAGACCACAGTGAAGAAAAAAAAATTAAAAACAGTGAAGAAAAATGTCCAGAGTTCAGAGGGTTAAACTGTTCTGCAGGATTTTGTGAGATAAAAAAATGCCTTCAATAAGTTTTTGGATAATTATGACCATCAAAATATGTCCTGATGTCCAAATAAGAACTGTTCTACACTCAGCGCTGAAACATTCGGGTATACAAAGTACAGAGAGACACTCAGATGACGGCACGTCAACAAATGAAAGAAAACAAGCAGCTTGTGTGGACTCACATGCCGAAGCGCAGCGTTCCCGACACGTATGTCTGCCAGTGGGCGCAGTAGAACATGAACATCCCGGCGAAGCAGCAGAAGAACATCCAGTCCGGGTTGGTGCCCAGCTGCACCGCTATACTGGTTCCCAGCACCACAAACACTGCAGAGACAAACAACACAGCGTCAACAGGGCTGCAGCTTCAGTCACGGCGGAGGAGAGGAGGAGGAGGCTGACTGACCGGTGGAGAGGGAGTCACAGCCGTGGTCGAACAGCTCGCCCAGCGGAGAGCTGCTGTTGGTGCGTCTGGCCTGCTTCCCGTCGATGGCGTCCAGCGACTGGTAGATGAACAGACCCACCGCACACAGCAGGTACGCCCAGAGAGGAGCCTGCAGCACAACACACACATGTTCACCTCAACTAAACTTCAGCTCTACTAAACAAATGATCGATCCTTGATGTTTACTCAGAGCCCCTACAGCTCCGGTGTTTGGCTCAGTTTCTCAGGTTAAACGCAATTCCAAAGACGACGCTTGACGGTTTGGTATGTGGAACATCCAGAGAAACCAGGAGGTCGTGTGAAGCGTTTCAGCTCCAGTGTGTTGGTTTGGCATCACAACTCTCAAGAGACAGAAACCAAAACTATCTGTATGGACACAGGAGTCCGCAAGGAAATGTGCCTTTTTTCTTTTTTCTTTTTTTAATGCTCAACATTTTAGGCAGTCCCTTACAATTAAACGAAAGCATCTGGAAACCAACCATCCTGATGTTTTATAGGTACATTTGATCATGTTTTGGTAGAAAGCTCCCTGTTTTCTGAGGTGCTCATGTTTGAATTGGCTGTAAATGGAGATTCAACACTTCCTCTGTGTTTAGTTTTTGTCTTGATAAACTCCAAAGCACAGCAGAGTCGCACTCACAACCCTGAAAATACCAACAATAACAGGGTTTTCATTCATGAACTCATTCCTTTTTGCTGATATTTTGAAGCTTTCAGCAGCTTGATGACCCACAGGTGAAGAAAGTCATCAAATACTTTTTCTCAAGTGCAAAACTTCAGGAGCATTTTGAGGCACTTTTCATTTTCCGCTACCTTTTCCTTCCACTCTGCTTCATTTCAGAGGAAAACGCTGCACTTTCTATTCTGCTTCATTTATCCGACACCTTCAGGTACTTTTAACCCTCTGAACAACCGCTGACAAGGTGAATTTCTTTATTTAATTAACAACATTTTAAAACCTTGGAATCAACAAATCCAACATGCTTGTGTTAATAGCACTGGAATAAACCTACTGGGCTACAACTACTACATAATGGTTTGACACATTACAAACAAGTGGAGTGAACCAGTGGATGAAAACAGAATTAATTTATTATTTTATCGTCCAGCCTATCAGCGCTTCAGACGGACTCACCTGCTCGGTGGCGGTCGGACAGTAGTAGACGAGCACGAGGGTGGTGAAGACGTTGGTGGCGAGGCCGATGATGGTGATGAGGTTGGGGGCGATCCAGGCGGGGACTCGGCCCACCAGCCACTCCCAGTAACGCTGCATCAGAGGCTCCAGCAGGGAACGTCCAGCACTGCTGTACCTGCAGGGAAGCCAGAGAAAACAGCCAGGTGAGGAGGTTTACCTGTGCGCTGCTCGGGGCAACAAATACCGATAACGACCCACCGCCGTGTCATCGGGCTGTTTACTGGGAGTTTAAAAACATTTTACACTAAAACATGAGAGAGAAGTTGCAGGAGTTCTAGTTTTACTATAACTGACATAATTAACTCTTTCTCAGCCCAAACCTCACCAGCAGGGTTAAAAGGGATGCTTTCTTTATTTTTTTATTTTTTTCTAAAAGCCAAAACGATGTCATTTATCAGAGCCAAAAAGAAGGAATTACCAGATTCTGAACTTTCCAACTACCCTCATCTGGTTGGTGGAGAGACTGAAGCAGATCTAACCTTCCAACATATTTAACCTAAATCACTTTATTCTACATGTTTCACTTTAAAAATGGACAAAAACAAACTGTTTGCTCGGAACAGAGTCTATGAAAAACTGAAAAGTCATCAGTGACTTAACTGAGGCCAACAGTCGTGTGTTTTTACATTTACTGTATTCTTTAGTCTCATTTAACAGTTTACCAAAAAATATTTGCACCAGATTCTGTATAAAATAAATATTCGGTGCTCCTCAACACAACTGTCAAGTCATTAGTGTGACCAGAAGTTGTGGAAATGTGGAAAAATGTTGGACATGTAAACAAATAATCAAAGACATTTAGCTTTCATTTTATTTGTTTCTGATTTCCGTCATTCTAACTGTGTCCTGCTGCACAGAAGACATTTCTGAGTTCTCTCTCCTTCTTCATGGTTGTTCTGTTTCTGTAGAGCTGCAGTGAAAAATGAGCCTCAGTGAGTGACCATGTGACCGAACAGTCAGAGCTTCAGGAGGTGAACCTCTGCTGTCCTGTAACACACGTGAAGGTAACGTTTTCCCTGAGTCTGATCGATGCAGCAGGATCGGTTACCTGTGCTCCTCCAGTCTCTTGAGCTGGTGCCGAGACAGCGGGGGCGAGGGCAGCTCGATCAGCCTGCGCAGCACTCCGGGGGCCAGCCAGCAGGTCGCCTCCATGCCCATGCCCTGCCCAGGGTCCTTGTCCCGGCCAAGGCCTCGGCGGGAACGCAGACCCCCCCCTTGCTGCTGCCCCGTGGCGCTCATGGAGCCCTGCTGCCTGCTGGACTGGTCCCCGACGGCTCTGCCTCTGCCACTGTCCTGCTGAGGGGCTGAAGATCCACAGTGGGGCTGGATGTGGCTGGATGGTTCCTGGAGGAAGACGACACAACGTCACAACGCTGCCTGGAGACAACACCTCAACGTTTAATTAGAGCTTCCCAAAACCCACAATAAAGCTTCCACTAGTTCTATTGTATCATTCATTCTGATCATCCATCCATCATCTCTACACCTTCATCAGGGTCATGGGGGGTCGAGTCTATCCCAGCTGACTCAGGGTGAAGGCAGGTTCACCTGGACAGGTAACCAGTCTATCACAGGGCTACACTTAGAGACAGACAACCAAGCACACTCACATTCACACCTACGGACAATTTAGAATCACCAATTAACCTCAACATGTTTCTGGACTGTGGGAGGAAGCTGGAGAACCCGGAGAGAACCCACGCTGCACGGGGAGAACATGGAGACTCCACGCAGAAAGATCCCGGGTGTCCTCACCGGGACGCGAACCAGCGACCTTCTTACTGCGAGGCAACAGTGCTAACCACCGAGCCACCTTGCAGCCCCACAACACATTTACGAACAATTAATTTTATTTTATCATTCATTCCGATGGTAATTTTCTCAGTTTATCGGGTAATCTTCTGGTCTATAAAATGTTCCTGGCAGTCAGAGGCAGCACCTCGCTGTCTGACCAACAGTCCAAACCCCAAAATATTTAGTTTGAGGTGCTTCATAACAGAAGAAACAGCAAATGCTCACACTGAAGGAGCTGCAGATGTTTTTGCTTTGATAAAATTACTGACAATAATTCAAATATCACAACATACACAGTAATCTATAAATCACTAGAAAATGCACGAAGCGCCTCATTAGTCCTGCGAGCATTCGTTTAAATCACCAAAACGACTTCATTAATCAGCCAGAAACTGTAAAGAGAAAAAGACTCACCAGATTTTTAACTTTCCCGAGTGTCCTTAAACTACTCATCATCATCATCACTTTGTGGCGTCACAACTGTGTCACATATGAAACGAGTGAAAACTGTTGATATGACAAAGTGAGTTTACAGTATCACAGCTGAGTTTGTGCTGGATGTTAACATTTCCTGCGTGAGTAGATCTGCTAAACATCTACCTGTTCCAGCTTTGCTATCAGCTACAAATCCAGATGTTGACTCCTACGATCTGCATCAAAGCTCCCACTGATCAGCATGAATCAAAGAGCTGCAGAATAAATAACCCGCAGACGCTAGCTTCATTGGTTTCTCCTTGAAGTTTCCACAACTGTTGATTTCTGTGATATTTTGCAAACTGAAAGGCTGCTGTTGGCTAAAAGCTTCAGTGTTTTGTTGATACTGAGGTTCTAAAGCCCGTCCAGATGTTAACCGCACCGACAGATGTGCTGCATAGAAGCACTGATGGCGGTAAAGGTTTTCATAAAGAACGCTCATGTTGTAAAAACGTATTAATGAAGGTGCGCTGTAGGTGTGCACAGCTGTATAAACACAATTAAAATAAATATTGGATCATAAAACACGGTCAGAACATCCACAAGTTAAAGGAAATTCATGCTTTCCGTGCTCACGCGTCCACATGTGAATGAAACAGACGTCTGGTGTGAGGACGTCCACACCTTCATCAGTCATCGTCTAAAGAGTTCTGAATAAAGCTGCTGGACTTTAGAGGAGCTGTTTGAACACGTTTTCATCAACGGAGCCTAAACCCAGGAGGAAGCCCTCATTTCCAGAGATCCTGTGCTGCGTTCACACACTGTTCCCGGCACACCTCAGCAAGAATCACTGACTCAGTCACTGAGAAAACCAACCTGCATGGAGATGAATGAGTCATAGAGAGGCTCAGAAAGACAATCAAAAACTAAACCTGGACCATAAAACTACATTTATATGTCCCGACAACAGACACATCTTGAATAGCAATAAGAAAACTGATAAAATGTTCAATAGTTTCTCTTAAATGATCAGATAAATACCACCATGATCGCACATCACGGAACCACAAAGTTAGGTGCATCAATCCACTGCCCTCCGCCTTCAGGTTTTACATTCATTCTTGTGTTTTCCATGAAATGTATTAACTGTACACCTTAATAAAAAGGCTAAAGTAAGTCAGGCGAGTACATTCGACATAAACTTTCTTTCTGCTGGTGTTTATTAAAAATATGCCTGGATTTTTTGTTAATAACTGTTTTTCTCTAAACTCTGGTTCCCTTCAAACAAGCTGTTTTACACACATCTGCAGTTCTACGTAGCAGTTAAACACTGACCTGTTGTTCTTGTTTAAATGTTCCTGTTTTATTTTGTAAAAGCACTGAAAAGCAAAAGAAAAAACCCACCAGAGTCAAACCTCTTGTATGTTCTCACACACTCAACCACTAAAGCTGATTCTGCATCAACTGATACGATTATTGGTACCGAGGGAAAAACCGATAACCGATATACAATACATGATATGTTTCATCAGCATGTGATAGCAGAGAAATGCGATTTATAATTAGGCTTCTTCATTGATACGGATTATCAGAACTGAATGTGGAGCTCACAGTGGGAGTGATGACATCAGAGCATCACAGGATGTCAGGACGCTGCTCTGTCTGCTGAGATTGATCAGTTTGTCTCCTGCACTTTTGTTAATCTTTCACTGTTCTGCTCAGATCTTAAAGCATTATTAGTTATCCTTTTTGCAGACTGTTTCTGGTAATCGGTGGCTGCCTGCTAACTTAGCCGCTAGCGGAGCTTTAGCTACTGTGACAGCAGCTCATTTCCTGGTTTGTGGCAACAGCTCGTGTTTCTTGTTCAGTTTTTGCAGTTGACTTCTGTGCTGGAGAGACACTGCTGAGACCACAGAGTGACAAAGACAGACAGACAGACAGACAGACAGACAGACAGACAGACAGACAGACAGACAGGAGGCTGCATCACACCTGAAGTATGCATCAATAACTGGAAAACAAAACTATTGATAATTGGAAAAATACTAAATATGAGCCCTGATAATCAGTCTATCCTCAATTCTGATAACCAGCAGTAATCATTATTGGCTTTAATGGTTTCATGTGGACACACTGTTCAGATGTGTCACTCAGCTCCATCACAAACTCACAGTCACATAAATCATGTTCATCTCTCACAGATGGGCTACATGTTGTTGATGGGACACAGAGCAAAGCTGAAGGGAGCACAATGAGTTGAACACAACAAAAACATAGTGCATTTAGCAGTAGAGCCTGGCAGAGCTCTGAGCTGTCTCATCACATCTGGAGCAAACTCTGCAGAAAACAGTCAAACTGCTCACCTGGAATCAGCACAAATCCCCATCCACCACTGACAGGTGGAACCAGCGACTGTTGACGCTGCGCGAGTCGAAAACTGTGAGACAGATTCACTTGAAGAGCTCAATTTGAGTCACTGAACTACTTCTTGTAACTGTCAGCAACACATGAGCTGCTGACGAGCCTCCAGCAAACAGTCTGCCTGCTCGGCGCTGTGCTAATGCTAGCTAGCATTCTGGCTGCTAGCTGCCTTCCCATCAGTTTCGTTGAATGTTAGCATCAGATTAGCTCTGGTTAGCGCAGCGAGCAGCTACGGAAGACCTGTGTCAGTTTGCTAATTTTAAGTTATTCGCTTGCTGTTAGCTTACTGGACCTTTATCATACGTGTATTGCTGAAAACATCACTGCACATCAGAGATATTGATTAAACCAGACGGGTACTATGACACCCCCCGTGATGACTGCGGCTAGCTGCAGCTAGCTAACGAGCTAACCCAAAGACAGCTAGCGAGCTGCCGAAGCACCGACTGACCTGGCCGATTAAAGGACGAGAGCCGCGGACAGTCCAAGGGGCGGTGAGGGCGCTCCGAGCCGACAGAAAGCACCTCTCTGTGGGCGGGCAGTTTTCGGGTTTTCCCTCTATAACTTGGAAAACCGGAGCAGCGTTTGCAGCTGTAGGTGGATCTCCACGACCGGTGTCACTGTGGTTGACACGGTAAGCTAGTTATCGTTAGCCATCACGGAAATATCGCGATGCTGGGTGTCGTTTTAGAGGGGGAAGTGTGCCCAGAGTTTAGTCTCCCAGGCAG